GTCTCATGCTCAAGACCAACAACCACCGCCATCATCTTCTGCTCCCACCCCTCATCATCAAGAGCAACAGCAGCGGCAGCCATCACCGCCTCCATCACAACAACGACAACAACCATCTCCACCCGATTTACCTCCTCCTCTTCAATCCCCTCCTACTCACCAGCAGGACCAGCAGCAACAGCAACATCCTCCCGACACTCACTCTCTCCAGCCTTCACTTACACCTCTCGTCGTTTATCGGCCCAGCGGCTATCGTCCAGCAGCCCTTCTTCACCTTCCAGATCATCGTCAACTCATACCATCCACCGTGCAGCCACCACCAACACAACAGCATACACCTCCCCATATCCAGCAACTCCATTCGACAATTCCGACTAATAGAGCTTCATCAGAAGCTCATTCTCAACCAGCAGCACCCAACCGGATTGATATCAACTATCCACCAGACACGAGCACGTCAGCACCATCAACATCTTCTACTTCGTCATCTGCGCACTTCACCTCTCATGCGACGTATTCCACTCTTAGCTCACCTCCAAGACATTTGTGTAGCGGTCGCACCTGCTTCCAATGCAGGATCCACGCCACCTGTTTCGCCATTTCCCAACTTCCACCCGAGCCTCTCAATCGCAAAGAAGCTATGGCAGGAGCATTTAAAGAGCAGTGGTTAGCAGCGGAAAAGGCAGAACTGGAAAGTTTACTCGACAGGGGGACTTGGAATTTGGAGCCATTACCCAAAGGAAAGAAGCTCGTGGGAGTGAAATGGGTCTACCGGGTGAAGGTGAAGGGTGATGGATCCCTGGACAAGTTCAAGGCTCGTTTGGTCGCCAAGGGATATTCTCAAGTTCCTGGAAAAGACTACAATGAAACATTTGCTTCGGTCGCCAAGTACACCAGTGTCCGCGCTCTTCTTGGCATGGCAGTACGGATGGATCTCTACATCATTCAACTGGACGTCTCCAGCGCCTTCCTTTATGGCGTTTTGGAGGAGGAGATTTACACGTCTCAACCTGATGGGTATCACGATGATACTGAGAGAGTCTGCAGGCTGCACAAGTCCCTGTATGGCCTGAAGCAAGCTCCACGGGTTTGGTATCACGCATTAGAGTCTGCCTTGCTGGCACAAGGTTTCACACAGTCTGAGTATGACCCTGCACTCTACATCCTGCACACGAAGGTGCATCAGGTGCTGTGGTTGATAGTGTATGTGGATGACATCCTCATGGTGTCAGGTTCTCTCTCCCTTCTCACCCACATCAAAGGTATGCTCACCAAGGAGTTCGTCATGACAGACATGGGTGAGCCATCATATTACCTTGGCATGAACATCATTCGCGACCGTCCTTCTCGCTCTCTATTTCTTTCCCAAGAGCGATACATTCACAAGGTCCTCTCTCGCTTCGGCCTTCTCACCTGCAATCCTGCATCGACACCTCTCCCTTCTACTTTTCAGCCCTCTCAGACTGAACCCTTTTCTGACTGGGACGAGTTCCACGAGGCTCTTGCACCTTCATCCTCTTCATCCCCTTCTTCTTCCAACGCACCTCCTTCATCACTCCTTTCCCCCTTCGACATTAATCTTTACCAGAGCATTGTCGGTAGCCTCATGTACGCATCCGTCTGCACCCGCCCAGATCTCTCTCATGCTGTGGGCGTGCTTTCTCAGTTCCTTTCCGCGCCATCTACTCAGCACTTGAACGCTGCGAAGCGTGTCCTGCGCTACCTCTCCGGATCTAAATCTTTTGGTCTCTTCTTTCATGGACATGAGCATGGTAGTGTCTTGCATGGTTTCACGGATGCGGATTGGGCAGGTCCTCTTTCAAAGCGGAAGTCCACTGGAGGCTACATGTTTGTGATAGCGGGAGCAGCTATTTCTTGGCAATCGAAGAAGCAAGGCTGTGTGGCATTATCTTCAACGGAGGCGGAGTACATGGCTGTGACGCAAGGAGCACGGGAGGCTGTGTGGTTGAGAGGGTTGCTGACGGAGTTGGGTCTTCCCCAGCATGAGCCGACCATTCTGCACATTGACAACACATCGGCGATCGCCTTGAGCAAGAACCCGGTCTATCATGGACGCACAAAGCACATTGATACCCAGTATCACTACATTCGAGAGCTGATTAAGAACAAAGTTGTGACACCGGCCTACTGCAGCACCACGGACCAGGCTGCTGACTTCCTGACTAAGATCCTCCCCCGGCACCTCTTTCTTCTTGGCCGCCACCGCGCCGGATTGCTGCCGATCGAGTCTCTTAAGTGCTTCTCCACTGCTGTCCCTTCCACTCCTTCTTCTCGCTCTGAGGGTCAGCAGTGCGGGGGGGTGTTGGAATGAACTGCTGCTGCTGCTCGCGTGGCACCAGGGTGGCGGGAAAAATTTCACGTGGCGAAAATTTTCGCCACTGTTTCCCCGTCAGCCAAAATTAGAATCTGCAAAGGGCATCTCCCAACATTACCCATTCGCCACTTCATCATCCTTATCTCCAGTCAGCAAGGCACACTTCCATTTTCACCCAATACAAATCCTTCAATCCTCCACCTCATATCTTCTCCAATCCTCCTCAACCTTCTCCTCCACCAATCAATCCAAAGATTCCCTACCAAGCCTTAAATCAAAGCCCCATTCATTCCAATCACCAAGCCTTAATTTCAAGGCCACATTCATTCCACTCACCAAGCCTTAAATTCAAGGCCACATTCATCACCCCCACCTTATCCAACTTAACCAATCACAATCATTCATCTCATCCTCTTCTTCATCCAACCTCAAGCTCCACCAAATACAAAACAAATGGTCCACCCCATTCTTCATACATACTTTACAAGCAAGTTTTTACCTAAGCTCTGCACAAGTTCTACTCCAAGCTCTCACAAGGCCACTTCAAAATCCTCCTCCCTATGCCCAACTCCTAAGGCTCCACTCACCACCAACCTCTCCCAATCCAAGCTCATAGCCATGTTCTCCAACTCTAGAGAAGCTTATGCTTCATAGTCTTTCTACTAGATTGTTATCAATGGTTGCTCTTTAAGTCCATCATGTACCTCCTTTGGACTAGTGCATTTTAAGTTTTGAGGCCTCAACATCAACCTTTGACTTTCTTCTAATCAAGACTCAAGCTTCACCTTCAACACTCAAGCTTGGAGGTTCTTCTCTACACAATAAACAAGATCTATACCTCAACACTCAAGCTTGGAGGTGCTTCTCCACTCAACAATCAAGATCTACTACTCAACAATCAAGCTTGGATCTCACTCTCCTTCCAACAATCAAGATTCACAATTCAAGCTTGGCTTCTTCAAGTTACAAAGCTCCTTCAAAATGACAAGTAAGACTCTTTAAGGTAAGTCACCTCTGTCAGAATCCCAACCACTAGACCATTGGGATAAAAGGGCTTGTTAAGTAGCGGGTCAGTGTGTCAGAGGTCCACTGGTGATCCTCGATTGATCCTAGGGAAGGGTTACAGGCTCGTTGTCCTGGGGGGTTATGGGCGCACTGACCCGCTACTTAACAAGCCCTTTTATCCCAATGGTCTAGTGGTTGGGATTCTGACACAGTGCGTCCATAACCCCCCAGGCCAACATGCCTGTAACCCTTCCCTAGGATCAATCGGGGATCACCAGTGGACCTCTGACACCCCCCCACACTGGGATGCCCGAAGTGCACACACTGGGATTCGAACCCGAGACCTTCGCTCTGATACCATGTCAGAATCCCAACCACTAGACCATTGGGATAAAAGGGCTTGTTAAGTAGCGGGTCAGTGCGCCCATAACCCCCCAGGCCAACATGCCTGTAACCCTTCCCTATGATCAATCGGGGATCACCAGTGGACCTCTGACAACCTCCTCCTTTCACTCTTGTCAAGTTTCTCAATTAAAGCTTCATTATTCAAAGCCTCTTCATTCTTATCAAGTCTCCTTTCTTCTCAAATCTTAGTTTCCATTATCAAGTTTGTTTAATTTTCAAGCTCTTTTACCTTCTCATCAATCACCCATTCAATATCTTTCTTTCAATCAATTGTTCTCTCCCTTTAATGTTTTCATCATCTTCCTTTCAAGTTTGTTATTTTTATCCTTAACCTTATTAGCCTTTACGTTCTTACTCAATCTCTTCTTCATAGGTTTCTTTATCTTATCAATTTTGTCTTACTTCACTCTTAACTCTTTCTTCTAGGAGTTTTCTTTCTCTCTACTTGCTATTTACCCTTCCTAATCCTTTACTTCCTAGCCCTAGCACTAGCTTGTGTGATCCATTGTGAAATAAACACTCACAGTAATGGTGAGGGTCTTCAGTTTGTTTAGGCTTGTGACAAATAGTAATTAGAGTTCAAGCATTTGCGCAACTCACGAAAAGAAGTCTTGAGACATGCTCGTTAGGCGAAACGCTTGAGGTGTAGAACATTTTTCCTTTAACCCAGATAACTCAAGCTCAGGGAATGTCCCATTGATCATTTCAGGTTGGCTTCGAGCAAGTTCTGCAGTCCCTCGATGCTGAAGTCGCAACGCCGGGACTTGTTACGCTGAACCTACTAATCTGAAACTCGTTTATTTGGATTCTCAGACACTGCATTGATCGCGCTTCAGCTTGTCGCCTGTAATGGCCGCCGCGCCCTCGTCGCAAGCCTCTCAGCCTCCGATGGTATCGGGTGAGCCGCGTGTTGAGGCGCCACAAATCAGCCTCCGCTGATATCGAGTGTGCCACTTGTCGAAGCCCCGCGGAGCTGGATAGCTCGCTGCTTCGTTTGTCGGCGAGTTGTTAAAACCGCATTGTTAGCAAGGAAATGCTAGGGAGGGAGAAGCGGAGTAGCAAGAGAAGCGTAGGGTGAGAGAAGCGGAGAGCGAGAAAGGCGTAGGCGGAGGGAGGGTGAAGGTTATTTTCGAATGGCACTCCATTGTACAGAATGGAGCTGCCATTGTGCGAAATGCCATCACTGATATTCTTCCTCTCTATTCATAGTTGCTCGCCTTTTTCCCTTGGCCAATTCACCCGCGTTTTCCGCCAGCTGCTGACGTGGCAAAGGAGTTTAAAGAGCAAGTTCAGCTTCTTCAAGACCAGGTACTTACCACGTACCGGTCGGATTTTTTTTTTTTTAGAGATGCCACAAAACAAGACCAGGTGCTTACCACCTACGCTTCCTCTTCTCCTGTCTCTTCCTCTTTTCCCTCTCTCTCCCCCTCCCTCGCTCCCCTCCCTGTCTACCTTCGCCTCTATCCGCATTCCTCTCTCCCCTCCCTTGCCTCCCCTTCCCTCTCTCCGATTCTCTGTGTCCACCTTCCCCGTCTGGCCTTCGACCTTGTGCTCTCACGTCCCATGTGCCGTTGCTCATGCTCCTCCTTTCTCCCTGCCTGCCTGCCTCTTCCCTCTTTCCCTCCCTGCCTTCTCGCTCTGCCTGCTTATTCTGTCTGCGTGCCGGCTTGCCTGCGTGCATGCGTGCGTGTGTGCGGGGTGGGTGGGTGGGTGCATGTGCGTCAGGATGCAGGCAGAGCAGCGGCGGCAGCAGCGGCGGTGATGCTTCTGGCAACGAGGGACCAAGCTCTGCTGCTGCTGCCCTCTACGGTGCGTCCCTCACGTATGATCAGTGATCACATGCACGCAGAGCGTTAGGGAGTCAGGGAGGCAGGGAGGCAGCGAAGGCGGAAGGCAGAGGCATACAGATGCATTCGTGCAGGGGCTCGGGTGTTGGTTCTTCCTGTTTCCATTTCACTGCTTGCAAGCAGGGTTTGCATTGCACACTGCCATAACGCCATCCAGATTGCACTCTGCGTCCCGCCCACTTGTTAGAACCCCCACCATCACTCCTTCCTTCTCCATCTCTCCTGCTCTCCTCCCACCGTTTCATCCTTCCATCCCTCAACCTTCCATCTTCCTCTCATCCCGCCCTCCCATCCCTGCCCTCTGTCCCCTCCACGCCACAGGTACCGCCCCTCATCAGCCTCCTCACATCGTCAGCAGACATGCACGTGCGGGTGGGTATGGGTGTCGAAGTGTGTGTACGCGTGTGTAAGCAGAGTTTGAGTGTGTGTGTGTGTGTGTGTGTGTGTGTGTGTGTGTCAACCCCCTGTGTGTGTGTGTCAGCCCCCCCCACCCCCCCCCCACACCCCTCCTCTCTCCCCCCCTCCTCCCCCACACTATCCCCAACCCCCACTAGCACATCTCGCTCCTTCCATCCCATTGATAACAAGTCTCATCTTTCTGTTTCTTCCTCACTACCCTACCGACCTTTGCACTTCATCCCATCCCATCTACCCGTTTCTTCGCCTCTCTGGTTCCTGTATCCACCTGCTCACCCTCCCCTCTTTCCTCTTCCGTCTCCCCTCTCTTGTCTCAACAACCCTCTCCCCTCTCCAATCTCTCATCTCCCCTCTCCCCTCTCCTCCGTCCCCTCTCCCCTCCCCCCACTCCGCCATCCCCTTTCCCCCTTCTCTCTCCGCTCCCCAACCCCCATCTCCCTATCCCGGTATCCCTCTCCCTCCTCCTTGCAGCGCAATTCACTGGCGGCCCTCACAGCCCTCATGTCCCGCTCGCAGAAACTGCACTCCACAGTCGCCAATACGCCAGGCATTGTACGTACAACGTACACAGCACGACACCATACTATGCAACCCAATCTGATTCATTTGAGTTAATCTAATCTGATACGATCTGATCCAATTTGCCATCCTGCTTGTCTTCAGAACTTTCTCCTCACTCCTTCCCACTCCTCCTCACACCTTCGCCTGGCTATCACCGCTCTGCCATCCCTTGAAGAAGGTTGAGTTGAATCAACACCCCCCACCCCACCCCCTCCTCCTTCCTCTCCTCCCACCGTCTCTCCCCACCTTCCCCATCCTCATGCTCCCTGGATTGTGTATACAGGGAGCGTTGGTGGTGGGAGCACTGAAGGAGGAGGTGGGGTTGCGCATCAACGCTGCTGCCTTCCTCTCCAACCTCGCCCTAGAGTGAGTCAGTGGGTGAGTAGGGCGTGTCTGTGAAGGCGCGAGGGCGGGAGGGAGGAAGGGAGGGACGCAGGGAGTAAGTTGTGCATGTCAGTGAGTGAGTGAGGGAGGGAGTGCCTCAATGGGTGAGTCGGGCGTGTCAGTGGGTGAAGAAATGGAGCAAGCAGGGGAATCGTTGTTGCGAATGCTTGTTGGTAGTTCTCTAAGCGTTTAAAACTGTTTGGGCTGGTTCGCATGTCATGTCAGGCATGTGCATATCCATATGATTTTTGACGGCATGTGCATGTGTGTGCTTCTGTGCCTGTCCACATTTATCTGTGCTTGTGTCGGTGCACGTGTGCGTGCATGTATCCAAGCACATATCTGGTGCCCTGTGTGCATGTGTGCGTGTGTGTGCGTGTGTGTGCGTGTGTGTGCGTGTGTGTGTGTGTGTGTGTGTGTGTGTGTGCGTGTGTGTGTGTGTGTGTGCCTATCAGTGCGGAGGGAGTGAGTGTCATCACATCAAGTGGGGGTCAGGAGGCGCTTGCAACTGCTCTCCAAGCGACTGACAACACCGGTCAGCTACGCCATGCCATGCCATCCCATCCCATGCCATACCATCCCATACCATGCCGTGTCATGCCATGCCATGCCATCCCGCTTCATCATCCAATTCCCTTCCTTCACCCCACCTCCTGCCCCCATCCCTCCCCATTGCCCACCATGCCATGGCAGACCAGAGCAGGGAGGCACTGGTGGATGCCATGTGTGCCATAGCATCCTCTTCCAAAGAAGCAACAGCTCTCCTTGTCGCCAAGGTCACCCACTCACTCACTCACTCGCATCCTCTCCCTCCTCCTGCTTATCCCTCACTTCGTGTCTCCTTCCCTTGTCTCCTGTTCTTGTCCCCGTCCCGCTTACCCTTCCCTTGTTCTCCCCGACATTCGTTTCCCTCCTCTTTCTCTTGGAACCGTCGTTTTTTCACCCCTACAACAAGGTTCATATGACATGTCCCACCTCCCCACGTTTCTGCCTGTCTTGTGCTGGATCCCTTTTGTCAACTCCTCAAAGGAGCATTCGTGTCCACAAGCATCTTTTACCACTCCCTACCATACTCCACCATACATACCCCCACCATGTCCCTCTCCTCTTGCCCTCTTCCCGCTCTCCTCGCTTCCTGGTCCCCTCTGCACTGCACTCGTCCATGCAGGGTGCATTGGAGCCGGTAGCAGCACTGCTGCCCGCGCCACACTCCTCTGAAGTGCACGTACGAGCTCTCATTGCGATCGGCGTGCTGCTACCTGCCAGGTACCCTGCACGTACTGCCGTCGCCACCGCCGCCGCTGCTGCTGCTGCTGCTCCTGTTGCTGCTGCTGCTAAGGCACATTCGCCACACTCACACGCACACATCCCCGGGTCCCTGTAACTCACGGTCGTGCCACGTCAAAACAAACTAGCCCCACAACCAGCGTTCGCTCTCCTCTCTCTCACTCTCCTCTTTCTCCTCACTCACTCCCCCCTCTCGCCTCACTCGTCCAACCCAACCGCCGCACTCTCATAACTCCCCCCTCTCCCTCCTGGTTTGTCACACACTGCATCGACTCCCACGGCAGCCCTGATGCTCCATCGCGCCTGGCATCTGTCCAAGGCGCACTCCCCTCTCTGCCAGCTCTTGCCAGGTGAGCCGCTCCCCTCTAGAGGTGCCTTTTCAGACTACCTTTAAAGCTGCCTCGCAACATTGGAGGCACACTGTCTATCTGCCAGATTTTGCCAGGTGAGCCCTTCTCCCTTCATCAGGTGCCTTTTCAGCCGACCTTAAAGCCCTCCTGGAATCAACGAAAGGTGCCTTTAATTTCACCAGCTCCTGCCACGAGAGCCCACATTTGGTGAACTCACATTCGCACAGGTTCAAGGTTTCGCCCTCTTCCTCTCTCCCGTTTACCTTGGGGAAGGTGGACGAAAGAACACTCGTTTTGGGAGTTAGGATGTGGGTGTCTCCTTGGTTTCTTCTTGCTCAGTGAGGGTTAGTTAGAAGGAGCTCTTTCTCGGTGTAACTTACTCGCCACCTCCAGTACTGCAGTAGCTTTCGGTCGATGTATACAGTAATGAAGTATTTGATTTCATCTCACTTGGCACCAACCTTCCACCAGTCAAGCGTTTCCACTGTCCGCCAGTCTGTTACTCGTCACCGCTCCACCACTCATCACTCCTACGCCACTGCTCTTTTGCACAGATACCTAGACACTTCGCTGTTTTTCCCGCCCACAGGTCAAACGACCAGGATGTGCGTGTCATTGCTGCAGATCTCTTCACTACAATTGCAAAGCACACAGAATTACGACCTCTGCTCGAGCAACAATTACGGGCCAAGTAGAAGATACAGTAGCATGTTATGATGGCCAAGTCTGCTTAGAGAGGTGCCACGGATTGCAAGCATACCGTATTACCCCGGATAGAAGCGCACCTGCGCTTATAATAAAGCAGAGTTTTTTAGGGGGGTGCGCTTCTAATTGAGTCATTTTTATAAGCGCATGCGCTTATATAATGACATATACGAATTTATAAATTTAAGACACCAAATTGTATGTTTCACTCTTGCCATTTCAACCGAGTCGAAAATTTTCGCCTCACAATGCAGAATCTCCTGCAAGCGATTTTCTTCCAGCACACAGGGGCCAAGATGCAACACTTTGCAGTCATGCCAGCACATCCTGACTGGACGCGCAGCCAGTCAGGTCTTCGAGAGTCAAACTCAGCGAAAATGAGATTGTACTCGCTTCAAAATTGAAACTCGCTACCGTTTTGAACAGAAATTTTAATTTAAAATTGTACATGCGCTTATAATAAGTAACGTTTTCACAGGGGGTGCGCTTATAATTGAGGATCGGCCATAAGCGCATTGCTCCAGATAGAAGCGCATGCGCTTATAATAGGCCTGCGCTTCTATCCGGGGTGATACGGTACAATTACCCATGTGTACTAATATTGATAAGCAATGCAACTGCATTCAACCTCTCTTTTGGGAGCTGGATGCACAAGGGTTGATTCTTCATTGAAGGCAGACCACCTGCCTAGGGAAACCAACCACTGACAAAATCTGGGAGCCAAAATGTGGAAGAGATCCCGTTGCCGGGACTCGCACGAGACTCTCGGGTGGGAGCGGAATATCCTATCCGCTTTATTTACAATCTATATGTGTACAAACGATACAGACGGATTTGACCATGAAAAGGCTAATTAATTACCAATGGCCAAACTGCAGCAGATAGTTCGATGCTCACGCTGGTGCACCAAGGAAATCCTCTTGAAGTAGCTAGTCTCGAAGAGCTCTGGAATCAGGTCAGGTGCACCACCCATGTCACGAAGTCGAGTCGCCCCTCGTCTGCTGCAGTCTTTGATGAAGCTGAGAAACGCCGTGCTGAAGCAACCGAAGGTTTCAAGAACAAGAGGAAGAAGCTTCACGTCTGGGCGGTTTTGTAACAAGATGCATACAGGGTCCGCTTCTCAGCTAACCGACTAGACTACAACGGAGATGTGTCTCGACATTTTAAATTAAACTATTTCATCGCTTGTTACCCGCGAGTTATGGCGAAGGCCCAACCCCTTTCCGCATAGGTTCAGGCAGGCCTATTGCCCGAATCTCATGCCTCCACCCCTGCCAGTCAGATATCCTTTCGATGGACAAGAGTCAGCCAGACCTCGAGTCGCTACTCGCGCACGCTACTGCCAGCTGTTTACCGGCTCAGTTCTTTCGTGGAGGCGGCGGCGGCCTGCAAGCGTACGTGGCGGCACTGTTGTCGTTTCTGCAGCCGTGGCAATGGCTGTGGAACGCGCATCTCGTCAGCTTTTTCGATCAGCAGCTGTGGGAACGCGTTGATCCACGATGGCTGGACGCACTGTCGTCCTGCCACGTGTCAGAGCTGCTACTCGTTCCGTCCGGCCACGTGGTAGGTCCTGACTGGCCAGAAGATCTTGTTGACTTCATCAATAATGCACGGAAGCTTTCTCTTAGGAGAGAGATGGCGACAATGAGAGGCACAGGGGGACAGGAAGGGAGGGTTACAGTTGAGTTGCGAGGAGAAAATGGAGTTAAAAAGGTTACACGTGGCACCAGCAGACTGGCAGAGACGGTTGCAGCGACACGTCAGCAGCGCACTTTTCTGAACCCTGAACCCTGGCTCTCGTCAGTTTCTCGTGAGCTGACACGTGGCATGAATCCGAAGAAGCTCCACGAGATTGAACGGCTCTCGTCGCTTGTAGTAGCTGCCGCGCAGCACACTGCCGCCCACAGCCCCTCCCGCATTCACTGTTCATCCCGCTACAGGAATCACTGTTCCCCTGGCTCGGATGGTTACTGTTCATCAAAGGGCGGCAATGTGAAAGACTCAAATCATGGCACTGTAACGGTGGTTGATCTCGGCGCCGGGCAGGGATATTTGTCTCAGATCCTTTCGTTTCATTTCGGGCTGCCCGTTGTGGCAGTGGACGCGTCGCACCACCACACGCGTGTGTTGCACACGCGCGCGGCACGTGCCAGCAAGGCTTGTGGGAAAGAGGGGAGGCAGGGGAAATGGGGGAAGGGGAAGGAGGGGAAAGAGGGCGAATGGAGGAAAGGGGGTGAAGGCAGTGGATTTAGGGAGAAGGAAAAGGAGGAGGAGAAGGAAAAGGAGGAGGAGAAGGAAAAGGAGGAGGAGAAGGAAAAGGAGGAGAAAGGGGTAGCAGAACCAGCGGTTGGTGCTGGTGCAGTAGCAGGCGATATACGGCCCTGTGCTTCTGAACCTGGAGCAGAAGCAGGTTCGGGTTTGGTGCGGAATCCGAGGCTAGTGACTCGAACCATAACTCTTGGCTCGGCAGCTACCACGATTGGTGCACTGCTGAGAGGCGGTGGGGAGAGGATGGGGGAGGAACCATGCTTGGAGGAGGGGAAAAGAGAGGAGGGAAACGGGGGGAAAGGGAAGGAGGAGGAAAGGGAGGATAGAACTGGAGAAAGAGAGGCGAGCAAGGCAAGAAGCAGGGAGGAGAGCGATGCGGATGCAGTGAGTGTGAGTGGCATGGTAGGAAACGGCATGGAAAGCAACGGCATGACAGTTGACGGGATGGAAAGAGACGGCAGAGAGGCGCATGGCGACAGCTGCGGCTGTAGCGTGCGTGGCGTGCTGGCTGGGCTGCATGCATGTGGCGACCTGACAGTGAGCGCACTGCGAGCCTTTGTGCTACAGCCAGAGGTCAGAGCCATGGCCATGGTGGGGTGCTGCTACAACCTGTTGTCAGAGCAAGGAGAGGCTGGTGGCGGTTGGAAGGAAAAGCATGCCTTTTCTTCTCCTCCCACACCTCCTGGTCCTGCTCCCCATCTGCATTCGCTCCCTGCTGCTGCCCAACCCCCGCTGCTACAACCGCTGCAGTCCCAGGATTCTGAGCCTTCCTCTACTCGTCTTGCTCCTGCTCCTGCTGCCGCCGATGCTGCTTCTCCTCCTCCTGCTCTTAGCTCTCCTTCTCCTTCTCCTGCTCCTGCTCCTGCTCCTCAGGCCGTTGTCCTGCCTCCGTTTGGCTTCCCCTGCTCCTCCTATATTCGCGCATTTCCACTCTCAAAGGAACACACGGCCTCTGATCGTCACACCTGTCAGCCTCTCATTGGCCGCAACGGCCGTGACCTGGCATGCCAGAGTGCGGACAGGTGGAAGGTAACCCCTCCTGAAGAGGCAGAGGGAAACTTCGAGGTGCATGCCTTCCGGGCGGCACTGGAGGTGCTGATCGGGCGGCATCGCGCAGATAAGGACCAAGTTCCTGGTAAGGTAGATGGTGAGGATATAGGTTCCTTGGGTGGCATTAAAGAGGGGCTGGAAGGGGGTGGAAGAGGAAGTAAGGAGGGAGGGATGAGTGGGATACGAGTGGGTCGGTTAGGGAAGGCAACGAGGAGGAGAAGAGTGACTGCTGCAGTCAATGCTGCCTCCACTACTGCCGCCGCTGCCGCTTCTGCTGCTGCTGCTTCACCTGATTCCGCCAAGTGTGCTGCCCCTGCTAGCCCATGCCTTACCAGCAGCTGCAAGTACAGGGAAACGTCAGACACACTACAGGATGAGAGGCAGGATCAGCATTCAAGGACACATCACGACCCAAACTCCTCCCGTGCGCCACAGTCCTCTCCCACCTCCAGCCCGCCTGCTGCTCCCTCCTCTCCTCCTCCCTCTTCTCCTCCTCCCTCTCCTCTCTCCGCTCCTCCCTCCCCTCCTCCCTCCTCTCCTCCCTCCCATCAGCATCACCTCGAAGCCTTCTCCTCCTACGTCCTCTCAGCGTGCCTCAAGCTGCGCATCTCCCCAGCCCCATCGCCAACCCTCATCGCAAGTGTGTGGGGCGAGGTCGCTCCGCACGCCCCCCTCGTGCGCGCCTTCTGGTGCCTCCGTGCCGTGCTGGCAGGCCCGCTGGAGTCCCTGCTCGTGGCTGACCGGCTGCTGTGGCTGCAAGAAATGGGGGGCCGGTTGATGGTACAAGGAAAGGGGAGTGGGGCGGAGGAGGGAGAGGTTGAGAAGCATGCGAGGGAGGAGGAGGAGGAGGAGGAGGAGGAGGAGGAGGAGGAGGAGGAGGAGGAGGAGGAGGAGGAGGAGGAGGAGGAGGAGGAGGAGGAGGAGGAGCAGGTGGGGGAGCAGCCGAAGTATCAGGTGAAAGTAGAGGTGAAGCAGCGGGTGGGCGATTCGGGGAGCCATGGGTTTTGGTATGGTGTTGTTGCTCTGTTCCATCCGGAGACGTCGCCTCGCAACCTTGCCATTGTGGCTCTCAAAGATCACCAGAGGCTGCAACCGCAACCGGGGCAATGAATGATGTCTCTACTACCGTACTCCCCTTCACTCCCCTCTCCTCCCACCACATCCAAGGATGAGCAGTAAACTCTCCTCCTGCCTGGCTGCCACCGTTGCTGCTGCTGCCCTCTCAGAGAATTGCGGGGTATGAGCACACCTTGCATGCATGTCCGCTACTTGTGTGCTGGGGTGAGCTTTTGCACTTTGTGGGTAGTAGCACTAGTAGTGATTCTGCTCGACAAGCAGCTCTTTTGCGCCCTGCACAGATGCTTCATTATTAGATCCGAGCATCTCCGCATCTGTATGCTCCCATTTGGCTGCTCTATTCTCTTTGGGACATCTGAATCAGCGAACAATTAACATAGAAGAATTAAGTACCTAAATCTAATAATGTCTTAAACCAGTTCATGTGAAACAAGATGAGAAAAGACACAAAATGTTATGCCAGATTAATGGAAGTCAAAATTGGATCTGGACGCTACAAGCCACCCACAGGTTACCAAAAGTAATCAGGAACTCTGCACTACAGTTGTATCCTATCATGCAAGAATCAGCTAGCATGCTTCAAATAGCATGATTACGCTGTAGAATACATGCCTTCACTGAATGTAACCACCATAGGGGTTACCAAAAAGACCTGCCCGTGTGGCGCGGTAATCCCCACGCCCTGACTCACTTAGTGCAGGAGAAGCGGGACCCATTCCCCCCGCCATCACCTGACCCAACCCTCCCCCAGGCCCTCCCCTCCCAGCAGTCGCAGTCGCAGCGGCGGCAGCAGCGGCGGCCATGGCTCTGGCGTTGACAGCAGCAGAAGCGGCCAGCGTACCGTCGTCAAAAAGAAGTCTCAGCATACCATGAGAAAGCGCCGCGGCCGTCTGCTGGTGCTGCTGCCGCTGAAACGCGTCGTCGAGACGGCCGGCGAAGCATTCGTCTGCCTCCACAGACGGCAACGGCAGGCCGGCCCGCGGCGTGCCCGGCATACCACCTTGAAGCGAGTTGGTGTTATTCGTCCCTGCCGCGCCGGCCGTCGCAGCCGCCGCACCGAGCGCGGCGCGAGCATGCACGAGCATGGCTTCCACCGCATCGAGCGCCGCAGTACCCTGTCGCGCTTGCGCGCGATTGTCAAAACACCGCAGCTGCTGTAGCTTGTCCGCCACGTGGCAGCTCGGAGCTTGATAACCTCTGTACACCGCCGCCGCCGCCGCTACAGCTGCTGCAGCCGCGACTGCTTCACCAGTCGCGGAGGCGGCTAGCGGTCTGGTTAGACCAGACCTCGCCCTCTTAGTAGGCGAGCCGTCATTAGAAGCGTCGAGATCTCCAAGATCTCCCAGCAGCCCGGCCGCCGGTGCCGCCGCCGCGGCATCGTCAGAGAATTGAAGCCTGCGCGCCTCGAAGTGCTCCCCGGGTAGCGCGTCTCCGCTTCTTACCGCCACCGCCTCCGTCCCCCGCTTCCGCCAAGCGCCGTAGCCCACGCGCTCCTCCGCGCCAATCCCGCCCTCCCACCGCGCGGACGGCGAATCCACCGCGGCGGGCGGGGCCTTAGGCGACGACGACAGCCAGGGGAACTCGCGAGTATGGCTGGGCGGAGTCCAGACGGCGTTAGGCTCCGCGCCAGGGAAAACCGCTCGTTGATGGTGCTCTTGCTGGTGTGGTTCGTGGTGAGGTTGGCGTGGTTGTTGATGTGCCTCGTGGTGCGATGGTTGGTGCTGATGTTGTTGCTGGTGATGATGCAGATGATGATGCGCGACGACAGCACCACTGTCGGAACGAACCACTCTAGCTTCCGAGCCCCAGTGGTCGCAGCTCGTGCCAGGCAACGGGCCGCCGCTGTCAGCCTCTTCCCCTTCGGTCGCCAGAAACGAGCCGGCGACGGCTCCCTTAGACCGTCCGCCGCATCCCTGGACGCCCGACTCGCGATCCGAAACCTCCGCGACCGGCACTGGTTCCACCTCCTCCTGCTGAAGGACTATTTCCGCCGCGCGTCGCTTCCAGTGATCGCGCCATGCGGTCTCGCATAGCAAGCGGCCGGGGCTGCCATAGCGGGAAGTGCACTGGGAGCAACGGCACGCGAAACGCGGGCCTGACGAAACGCGTGATTTGGATTTGCCGGCGCTACCAGGAGGTCCGGTTGCGGTGCCGGCTGTGGGTCCAAATTTCTCCATGTCGCCTTGAACTTGCTGCTGCTGTCGCATGAGCGCAACCCGTCGCTCGCCTTCCTTCCGGTCATCCAGTTGCAAGGCGCGCAGGTGCAGCTGCTCTCTGTTATGCGCGTCGGCCGCGGCGACAGATACAATGCGACCTGTGCGACCGCATCTGTGGAAGCAGCAGCAGCGCGTGGTCGCTTCGACCAGCTGAGACATGGCTTCCTATAGATGATGTTGAGAGAGAAAGCGTCGAAATTCAACGATATACCAGATGAATCAACGTAATTACAGACGTGGTCAATCTGACTTGCTACACATGGGATGGATCTAGCTACTACGGAAAGAACTCGCTGAGAACTTGAGCGCGAAAAAAAACACCAGAAATGAGGTGAACAGAGAAGTGGGAGGGGAGGGAGGTTGGCTTGATTAGCACGGAGATGGACAGTGACAGGGTCAGGTGCGGGCAGGGCAGTGAGGTCGGTCAATGCGGTGGGGTGGAACGGAAGCAGGGAGGTGAGGGGACAGAGGCCGGAGGCGTAGGCATGCGCGGCATTAAGAAACCCCAATTCCTTCCGAGTGATGACGACTCTCTCGGCTGGGCTCCTGCTTCCACGAGGTTGGGACAGAAGGAAGCCCAGCGGCCCAGCCGCTCACCAGGCAAAAGCAGCGAGGAGGACTCGGATGGTGATGACGGGATGGGGCTGGCAGAAAACAAGGGAAAAATGTCAACGAGGTGATGGGATGGATAGGATGGTATGGTATGTGATCAGGTGGAATAGGATGGGATGGGATAAAGCAAGATGAAATGAGATGGAGTAGGGTAATTGTAGTGGGATGGGCTGCGATTTGGGATGGGATGGTCAACGAGAGCTGCTAGGAGGAATCACGAGATTGATGATGATGATGAACCCAACGGCAAGGCAATGTCAAGGTTTGAGAACGATGCGCGGGCAGGTTGTGATGTGGAATGATGGTGATGGTGGATGATGGTCATGGTGATGGATGCTACATGACCCCGTAATTGAAGCGTATCCGGGGAGCTTCTTGACCCAGGGTACCGTCACCTGCCACATGAAAGAAATCTTGCAGCCCGACTTTTGGGGTTTTGCTTGTTCACCCGCCACCAACTTCCATGCCTGGCATTGCTGCCCGCAACCATCATCATCAGATGTGCCCCCGCAACCTCAACCAAACCTGGGAGTTCAACAATTCAAACGCTCAAAAATTGGCGCGTAAAATGCACATATTTGAGGTTTTGGCGGGATTCCTAAGGTGCCAGCTAGATGGGGGATTATGACGTGGTTGTGGGAACAGCTTATCCACTGAGGTTGTCGGACAATGTACCACCGTCGACTGCAGTGGGATTCATGATTTTCAGCATCCATGCCAACGCGACTGGACAGTTACGAAGACAACACTTGCGTGGGGAAATTATGTCACAAGTAACCAACATGGGACTCGATAACGTGAGTGGTAAAAACAAAGCGCGTACGATCACCCTATCGGGTTTGCTGACGGGCTTGGTAAGTGGGGTCACGGATTCAGTAACTCACAACAGGTAAAAAATCACGCGAATGGTCACACATGTAACTCCCGCCAAAAACTCTTGAAACTCTACAAAATTCCCGCTCGCGACGAACCAATCAGATAACTTCTAAAAAAACTAAAACCCAATCGGAAACGGAGGCGGTTCGGGAACGGATCAACCCTAAACACCTGGCGAATTGTGTTTAGGGTTGATTCATCCGAAAATGTATCCAGGTTCGTTTTGGGTATTATCTTTTTTGGGCGGGAGTTTCATCTGTGACCATTCGCGTTTTTTTTTCCCCGTTGATTGTGACTGATTCCGTGAAACGTGTTATCAACCACGTGAAAACACCCTTTGCAGTCACCGTACCCGTTTTTTTTTTACCAAACATATTATCGAGACCCTTGTTGATTACGTGTGGCATATTTTCCCCACTTGCGTGTGCCACTAACATGCACATAAATACTGGTACACGAATGAAAACATAATTTACGGGTCTCATACAAAGTAAACAAAATGACAATATAAGGAATGCTTGGGGTGCGCTTATAATCGAGGAGCAGAAACAAGAACATGGATCAAGATAGAGGCGCATGGACTTAACATAGGCCTGAGCTTGTATCCAGGGTCCGACGGTAGTTTCTATTTATTCATTGCTACAAATTCTCAGCATATTACAAAAACTAGGAGTTTTCAGGGTTGATTGCAGAGTGTGTAGCGGAGTATTTGTTGGGTGAAACATGTCAGAGTGAATGTGAAATGACATAAGTGACTAAATAACATATGCGTATGTATGTATAATAACACAGAGAGAATACAAACATCCATACCTATACAGCCCCTCCTGGCAACATTCTATCAAGCAAGTCCGGGGTTCACTATTTTACATGCTGGATTAAAGTGCTGGTGTGTCTCGACTGTCCGCGGTTCGGCAATCATTCAACATTTTGTCCTGCCTTTTCCATTTGAGATGATCCAAGGATTGTATTACAACCAACTATCATGCTGCCAACCGTTTTCGTCTCTTTTATTGATTATGACCCTAGGGTTTCCATACTCGGTGGTGCATGCTCGTGTTACAATCAGGAGTGCATTAGATGTTGGGCTGAGAAGTAGCCCTTAGGATCTTTTCAAGGCTAAGATCTCATGTAGTCGGAGTGCTATAGTTTGCGGAAACGTTTAATAAAGATTTACTTGAACCACCTTGCACTAGTATGTGAGAACAAGATAAGTTGATAATAGCAGAGAGATACAAAGCTTTTATATGATTACAAAAGAATATGAAAGGTTCTACTTTAACTGTTTTTACTGTTGCGGTTCGATACAGTGATGTCAAATGTATATGCCTTAGCCTATATAGGCTGTAGTGGGGTAGTTCCTAGAGGGTACAACACTTTTGTGTTCTCTATTTGTACCCACCTAATTTCTAGTTCAATCATTCCTGTTTAATTATTCACATGGTATCAGAGCGGGTTCCCTCATGGGACCGTTCCTTCCTAAGGGCCCACCATAAGCAAAATTTTTTTAGCTGCCCGAAGCGCGTCTCGCGCCCTGCCCTAATTTTTTTTTTGGCGGCCCCCTAGCGGCCCCTAACGGCCCCTACGCGGCCCCTACGCGATCCCTACGCCGCCCCTAAACGGCCCCGTCGCGGCCCCGTACCTGACGCGGCCCCGTCCCTGACGCGGCCCCGCCCCTACCCGGCCCCTACGCGGCCCCTACGCGGCCCTTACGCGGCCCCTACGCGGCCCCTACGCGGCCCCTACGCGGCCCCTACGCGGCCCCTACGCGGCCCCTACCCGGCCCCTACGCGGCCCCTACGCGGCCCCTACCCGGCCCCTACGCGGCCCCCTGCGCGGCCCCCTACGCGGCCCCTCAGCGGCCCCTACGCCGCCCCTACACGGCCTGACCCGGCCCCGTCCCTGACGCGGCCCCTACGCGGCCCCTACGCCGCCCCTACGCGGCTCGTACGCGGCCCCTAAACGGCCCGACCCGGCCCCGTACCTGACGCGGCCCCTACGCCGCCCCTAAAAGGCCCCGTCCCGGCCCTACCCCGGCCCCGTCTCGGCCCCGTCCCGGACCTGCCCCGGCCTCGACTCCGTCCCGGACCTGCCTTGGCCCCGACCCCGTCCCGGACCTGCCCCGGCCCCGACCCTGTCCCGGCCCTACCTCGGCCCCGTCCCGGACCTGCCCCGGCCCCGACCCCGTCCCGGACCTGCCCCGGCCCCGACCCTGTCCCGGCCCCGTTGCTGCCCCGTCCCGGACCCTGCTCGGCCCCGACCCTGTCCCGGACCTGCCCCGGCCCTGACCCTGTCCCGGCCCCGTTGCTGCCCCGTCCCGGACCCTGCTCGGCCCCGACCCTGTCCCGGCCCTGTCACGGCCCCGACCCAGTCCCGGACCTGTCGGCTCCGCCCCTGGTAAGAGCCTAGCCGGGCCGAGCCGCGCGGCCGAGCCGCACTGCTTTGCCGAGTCGCCCTGCCGAGTCGCACTGTCCTGCCTCGCTCAGTTGCACTGCTGCCACTGCTAGTCTGCTGCTGCTCCTATCATGGCTAGTCCTAGTCTTCTCACCTTTGATGCTGAGGGTCGAGCGGTTGACTTTGATGTCTGGCTAGATGATCTGCAGCTTTTCCTTCAGTGCGAAAGCAAGGATGGTCTCTCCCTGTTTGATCTTACGTCGGGCGCCTCTACTGCCCCTGCTGCTGATGCTGACAGTACCGTTCGCTCGCAATGGCTCACGCGCGATGCTGCTGCCCGCCTTGCTGTGCGTAGTCACCTACCGTCTACTGAGCGCGCGCACTTTAGTCAGTACAAGAGTGCTAAGACTCTGTACGACGCAGTAGTTGCACGTTACTCTTCCCCTGCCACTGCTGCGCTTAGCCGCCTCATGCTACCGTACCTGTTCCCTGACCTCGCTGCTTTTGCCACAGTCACTGACCTCATCACGCACCTCCGCACTAGTGACACTCGCTACCGCGCTGCGCTTCCTGCTGAGTTCTGCGCCCAGAACCCCCCCCCCCCCCCATGTACATCACCCTCTACTACCTAGTCACTCGACTCCCTGACACTCTCCGCTCGGTCAGGGACCACTTCCTCTCTCTTTGCCCTACCACCCTCACTGTCGACCTCCTCGAGGAGCGCCTCCTTGCAGCAGAGACTAGTATCACCGCTGTAGGTGCCTCTCGTGGTGACCCCCGTACCCCTTTGTTTGAGGGGTGCTCCCCCGTTCCTCTTTTGCCCTCTGTTGCCTCTGCTGCTGCTGTCGACCTTGTTGGCACCGAGTCGGTCAGCGCTGCGTCTGCTCCTAGTGAGAGGCGCCGCATCAGCAAGGGCAAGCGGGGCAAGGGAGCTGGAGGAGGTGGTGGGGGCGGCGGTAGTGGCGGTGGAGGCGGAGGAGGGGGTGGGGGTGGGGGTGGAGGTGGTGGTAGAGGTGGGGGCTTCGGTGGCGGCGGTGGAGGTGGAGGCGGCGGTGGCAGTGGCGGGAGGGGTGGAGGAGGAGGCGGAGGCGGCGGCGGTGGAGGTGGAGCTGGCAGAGGCGGAGCTGTGCAGCGGGGAGCAGCAGCAGCGCTCTCGTGAGACCCCTTCGCCCTAGCAGCTTCGTGAGTGGTACGCGGGGCGCCAGGGTTCTGGGGGTGCTGGTCCCTGTACTTACGTCCTGCGCACCGGTGACCGCACTGGAGAGCAGTGTGGCGGC